TTCTTGGGCATTGAAGTAGCTTGCTAAAACAACTATATATGAACGTTTTGCTTTTTGCAGCAAATTAGACAGTTTCAGGTGGAATTCATCCTTCAGTTCATCCGAACTGCAGTTTTTCGGGACGTAAGCGGAGATTACAAAAAGACAACTACGGGTGAAGCCGTCCTTCATTCTTCTAACGAACCCGTTCAGACGGACCGTACACATACGACTATCTACTGGGATCCAGTCATGAAGTGATTTTTCTGCCCTAACACTCAATGCTATCCCTAAACCTGCGAGTCCTCGTGAACTAACTGAGGGGTCTCCTGACACCCTTAAAGTGAATTTTGTAGATTCACATTGTTGGCCCGGTGAAGTTAAGTGAATGACTATACTCGAGTCTTTTATGCTTGTCTTCGAAACACAACATACATGGCTCGAGATTCCAGATTTTTTACTAGTGATGCCTGTTGTGCGATTTGGCAGAGGGTCCTGACGTTAAAAGCTCCTATATGAAGTTGGCGATGTGGCTTCAAGAGGCTGTCGGGGGTGTTTCTATGGCTGTCATCGTTGTTTGTGGCCACAGAGTGAAGTGAAGATGACTTACTAGCCTGAAGAATAGTACAGACTGTAGTAGGAAAATAAGATGACGAAGTTGATGTGGGTAAAGGAGAATGATGCTCAGGAAGGCTTTGTGTACTGGGACACAATGCCGGCAACTGCTTTTGGTCGGACCACTAACCTAACAACCTTTCTGGCATGGTAGGACCTGCAGAAACAATAGTTCCAGCCAGTGTAGCTTGTTGGGTCATTGCAATATGCAAGCCCGACCACCACGTCGAGGTAGCAGCTATCGGTCGGGGGATACCAAAGTGGAAACCATGGAGCCAATAATTATAACAAACATCGCAGATATCGGCAAAACATATCACAGTATTTGAGTCTTTCTAACTAACTTGTTGATGTTTTAATTCAATCCAAATAATGTTTAGATCATCATAAGATTAACTGATGATCTCCAGTACTTTAATGACAAACGCACTACGATTCTACATTCAGTCATTTAATTCAATGAAGTAATTGCAGAATTAATCGACAAACATTTGTTACTATTGTGAATTGGCTATGACAAAAGTTATTTTTCCTATCTAAACCAACTACATATACCACAGGGACTACTAAAAGATCTTTTAGAAATAATGATAGCGTGATGATATTGCTCATTGGCTTAAGCACTTAACTTTCAGATAATAGGTAATAGGCTGAAATCCTACTCCCCTAACTTTAACCTAAGCAACTAAGTATTACCATCAAACATCACACAAGGAATGCATTTCGTAGCCTTATATATGAAAAAATCTGCTCCGCGTAATTAAGTTCAAACAACAATAACAACTAAAAATACCTCCATATTTTTATTCGAAGATATTCCCCATTATTTTATAGTCGTTATTCATTTCCTAGATAGTCTAGTAGCAGTGTACACACCTCAAAACTAAGTAATACTAATTAGTCCCATTCTATGCTGTAAAACAACCACATTGATAAGTAGCAACTGGCATGTAACCTAAGTTCAAGGCTTATTGTAAGTTACTTTCAGTAACCCAACACCAAATGAGTACTCTATAAGGATAAGGAAAAATAAACATTGCGAAATAAGAAATATTACCAGTTTAATGACAACATAAAGGCCAACTAGGAAGATTTTATGCTGAATACCAGAGAGGTATTAAGATCATTCAGGATTCACTTAGTTGAGACTTCTTAATTTCTACAAAATTCACATAATCATAAAAATAAGATTAGTACTTACAACAAATTCTGAAATACGTAGTCAAACAGATTAGATGTAGAATATCGAGGAGTATTGTTTTAGTTTTTTTCTAACTTCCTCTTAGAGTTTATGTAGAGGAATTCGACAAGTAATGGCGATCAATTCAAAACATTATAAGCGAAACACAGGTAGTACGTTTAAGGACAGAAAATCACTGACATGTTCGTTTCTCTTTTGAATGCTAAATTCATTTAACAAGGAAACAGTATGCGGTATACCAAGGTATATTATTTTGCTTTGATACTATTTTGATTGTGCAAATGAGTAATTAAACAAATTAAGATATTACACGCCTTGGTTATCTACCATTGGATGAAGGCTAGAAAGCGAAATATAGATCTGTAAAGCTACGAACTAGCTGTATTTGAAGTGTAGAATCAATATACTCAGATAGGTATTTAAATAAATTCTACGACAAGTTTAACATTTCTTATAATCAGTCCTAATTACTTTAAGAAGGAATGAAGAAATTTAGTCAAGATAACATCATGAATTACTTAAGACTAAGTTGGTATCAGTTAAAGTACAAAATACACACGATAAATTTTCGTTACATATCTACATTGTAATAGGGTTTTGCTTTTCCTTACATGACTAGCAATTTCTTATGAATTTTAGGAAAGTGTAGAAGCTTCATAAATATTCTGTTTATTTGAAACATGATTAAAAGGATTCTAGACTGTTACACATATTCTGGCAACGTTTGAAAAGTAAAACGCCACATATCATGCGTGACAACTACCAGTTACATTTCAAACACCCGTTATGCTGAGCTGCTTTCCCTTAAGTGTAGAGACAACAATATATTCTGATTGGACACTAGTAACTAGTGTGACGTTTCTAGTCCTTTCTTTGGTGCAGACTGAATTTTATCAGTCAGATTTGATGAGTGCCAACTAGCTCGAAATCTAGGTCCAAGACTTCCTGCCGATTGCCTCCAACCATCTAATAACAAAAATATATTACTGAGATAAGAGGTAGCATCGATTAAATTTTCTCATAAGTCTAGTATTTGGCCTTTATGGTCTGTAAAACTTAATGTTGGCACTAAATGCGATTATGAAAACAATTGGTTGAGAGCCCGCTCTGTTTTAAAAACTCATGATTACACTACTTTCCTACTTACAGAAGTAGCCTGACATAAATTAAGAACTGGCTTGTTCAACATATTTACACTTAAAAAGATGCACTAAAATATCAAACATAAAATTATGAAAGCTAAATGCATCTACAATCATCGGTCAATAATGTGTTGAAAGTAATTTTAGGTAGGTATGGAACAGGACTTTGTTCATGCACAAAGTGCAAATCAACACGAAACCCCACTCTACTATTTACGACTAAGTAATGTTCGCGGCTGAATTCTAGTCATCAAATTTAGTGATACATTATGTCCAAAAACAAATATCAGCACATCCACAGACAGAAAAACAACAGGTGTAAATGAAACTAGGAGACCCGGAACGCTCATGTATACACATAAAATACATGGGATTTATTTACTATTTGTACAGTGACAGAATCGGAGTACTCTGAGTATTAGTAGCCCATATAAATTGCTATACATTTTTAGAAGCCTGTCACCATGATTTGTCCACAGCTTCCTTAATACTGTGTGACATAGGCACTTATCTGCATCGCAGTGATATTCCGAATCGCGTCAAAATAAGTGCCACGACATCGTCATTCGTACTTTCTACCATGACTGCAACCACATTCAGTGTGGTTTGGGCATATACTTAAGCCTCATGGCAGAACTTTTCGCATTTACTTCGATCTTCAAGACTCTCAACCATTACCCTAACTTAATGAGCAACGGTAAATGTATGACTTAATGTAGTTATTATCTATACAACGAAAGCCATTAGTAGGTGAACACCTTATGTTTTTTCATCGTGGCAACCATAGTTACAGAAAGAAAAATGTTTTTTAAATACTAGAGAAATCAAATTCTATATATTGTAAAACAGATGGCAAGCAGTAAGAATGTTTTCAAACAGCTTTTTATTTATTGGAAAGGAAAATACATTCCTATAGTACAACAAATGAAATAACTAAGTGTGAAAAATGCAGTTACTTCGAAGAAGAGCAAGAGATGTGAGGGCGAGAATTCAAAGCTAACAAATTTCATTGTATTTCAGCAGTCAATTGCAACCATAGAAAGATGCTTCCCGGGTATCAGAAGAAACACTCCACCTTATCCGTAAGATCCTATTTCATATTTTGTCCCTCTGTACAACTTCCAGATTAGGACCTATTGCTGAAAAACCACATATCTACACGCATCTAGCCAAAGGCTGATGGTACCACCTGGCTGTCCAAAATTTGGGGGAAGAAGGGGATTTAGACCTGTAGCCTAGTGTCTGAAAGCTCACTACCTGAACCAATAGGCCACAGTTACATGAAAATGGCGACAAGTAAAATTTTTCAGTACTAACATACAAGTGAAACTCCTCACAGCCAGCAACAATCAGCCTTCATGAAACAAGCAAAAGAAAAGAAGGAATTTTATTTATGCAACAGAAAGTGGGAATAAACACTACAAGATCTTCAGAGGATGTCTTTGTTTAGCCTGGGCATCAACAATAAGGAAAATATCCATGTAGCGATAGAGATCCATTAACAATATTACCATGTATTAACATTTCGATGATAAAGTGTTAAGTTGATTACTTTCTGATTACATAACAAAAATGTGTGAACATAGTGGGAAAAAATCCCTACTTGCTCCAAAATACCAGGACAGTACAGAAGTTAGGGCATAAAGAAACTACCTCAAAGTTCATCATGACTCACTTGCTTAAGCATGCATAAGAAATAGGTAGTACTCATAGTAGTAATTCAACCATATTACAATTCAAATGGCATTTCCGAAAAAAATGTAACGTTTAGCACTCCAAATACACCACAAATAAAGAAAGATTACATTAAATAGGAATCAGTCAACTAAGCATAAATATCCTCATTAGAGTACTTGGCAAGAATAATAACTGAATTTTAATATGTATCAAAGTCAGAAGCGAACATGACATAAGACATCAAAAAAGCTTATGTATATGACAAACTAGCATCAACATTTTGAATGATATTACAAATTAAACAAGCGTAAGGTCTCTGAAAAAATGCATCAACTCATAATTGAATTTAGTCCGTATGTTCTCAAAAAATACAACCAAAAATGCGATTATTGGGCTTTCTTTCGAACCTCCTCTTCTTCAATTTCTTCCAAATCATTTGCTTCCAGCTCACGTTTAATACCAATTAGGCTTGTTTTTAAGGCATCCTTTGAAGCAGCATAAATCATTCTCATCTTCACATCCAATGATGATGGGACCCTGAAAGATATATACCACAACATATTGACCTACCACAAAATGAAGACTAGTGTGGGCAATTTCCCTTCGCATTCATAGTCGTAAACTGCATAACGACCCTGACCCTCATTCATAGCTGTTACCAAATCATTCTTGAAATCTTCGTATGTCGCACCTATCAATTATGTCAACTGAAGTATGCCTACTTCTATTAGCTTGATGTAGAACTTTTATTTCTTGTTTGTTTTCAATATGGAAAAGAATGTAACGATGATTTTTATTACGCTTCAGATCTTCGAAAGCCTCAATGCAAGACCTGTGACATTTAACTCCAGTACTCTATAAATAAAAAACCATTTTTAAAAATTCGCCGAAATAAGCTTTGTAAGATAAAAGCATAAAATTTTGATAAGAGGAAAAACAAAAAATACCACGACAAACCATTATGCTGCAGACGATTAGCGGGAACGACCTTGACAAGAAATGAACGCAGCTCCTACGAAACCGATGCTCCAACGAATTATTAAAACAAAACTGCGGTTGATATCTGGTTTTATTCCCTTTTTCTGTTCCATATTAGTCAGTTTTGTGAATTTCTGAACCAATTGGTATATGAAAATACTGCTTAAATACATTCGTCTCAACAATATTGTTCCATTTTTCAGAATCCCACTTATACTAGAAGGTGTCTAACCTAGTTGTTTATAAAGTTAGCATCACCACCTGGTCGCTGCGTCCACACGTGACCATAAGCTATTTCAGGAAGAGGAGAACGGCCCGAGAATCTAAACATGGCATAAAACACAATTATGGATGGTACATCATTGAAAGTACATTTGCTAAATTAATACCACAATGAGCTGGAGAGTCCTTGAAATGACAGTATGCATTTGCAGTCTATAGTGCAAAACATATTGGTCTTATCCTGGAAATCATGAGGCTTAGAAATATGGCTAACCACAAACATTGGTGACGTTGCCATGTTTTTTCCATCAGCATAACCATATTCTAAGGGAGCGAAGAATAGAATAAAAAGAGTAAGTTTAAGATTTATTCAAAGCTAAAATATAACAGAGTATAGTGGCGCATAGACAAAAAATTAATGCGAACTATGTAAGTTATAGATCAGCGGGAAGTGGCCTCAAAGATTTAAAAATTTTAGAACATGTGAGATATGCTGACCTATTACAAGATCACTCACTTTTCTGTGCAGAGCCTACGGGGTCACAACTTGACGGGAAGCAGAGCGGACCTGTAGATATTAGGAGCAGGGGCATTATGTGTCATTTACATCCGCACAACCATTATTGTTTTCCAAGGCAAGGAGTTGTCAAAATGCACGTTACTGTCCTGAAGATGAGAGCGCTTCATATTTGTGACCTAAATCATATCTGCTGATCAGCATGCGCCACGTTCCCTCCTTTTTTGACGTTAAGCTCTGGGGTTTTTCATGATAACTGTAGTTGTAGAATTGCTTTGAGCCCGTCCCAATCACACAGTATACTGCACATTAGTGACTTTCATGACAAGTGCTTCCCGTTAGGCTACTGGATACATCGATACCTGAGGACATTCTTAGCAGTATTATCCTTATGCATGCATACGTGTGTATAAGTAGGTTATCACAAACGACTAAGAAATAAAGTTTCTTCTAAGAATTATACGGTACAGAGGTGGTTGTTACCACAGCGAACTAAGTTACAGTCTATTTAATAGAGTGAAATGAGTAGTGTAACGATCAGTGGTTGAGTTAAATAGGATTATCTTCGGCAGTACAGTCGCTTAGACGAAATTATTAAGTGAAACTCCTGTGACCGCTGTTAATACGGCATGCGCTATACATTGCAAAGATCCTTTTCACTTGTGTCATGAAATAAAATGTGCGGACTCTTTCTAAGCCTTCACATATTAGATATTTTGGCATATTCTTATGTCCCTTAAAACCTGGTTGATGAGATATTTATGAAATGTAGAACTGCTTGAGTTAGCAAACCTATGTTTATTTACTGAAGAAAAAACTTGAAGAACTTTTTTCCCTATCCCTATTATTATTTATTATTATTGCTCCCATGGGTTCCTAGTGGAACATAGGGCTTCAACTGCACGTCTCCATTTTCTTCTGTCTTCTGCTGTACTTTTCGCCTGCATCCATGTTAATCCATATTCTTTCAACTCCTCTTCACACGATCTCCTCCATGTCACCCTTGGACGTCCCACACGCCGCTTCCCTTTCGGGTTCCACTCGGGGGCTTGGCGCGCGATGTCACCCAGCGGTCTCCTCAGCGAGTGTCCGATCCATCTCCACTTTCTCCTGCATATTTGTTGGGCGATTGGTTCTTGCTTTGTTTGTTCCCATAATTCCTTGTTGGTGATTCTTTCCGGCCATCTGATCTTCAGTATTGAGCGAAGACAGTTGTTAATAAAGGTCTGCAGCCTTTTGGAAATATTCTTTGTGACCGCCCACCAAGTTTCTGATCCGTATAGAAGAACTGACTTTACGTTTGTATTGAAAATCCGACCGAATTTTGTTGTTGATGTGGCTGAGTGACGAAGATTTCCAGATTGATTTCAGGTTGATGAATGTGTTTCTCGCCTTCCCGATTCTCGCTCGATTTGACATCCTCGTCCGTTCGCTTCCTGTAGTTGAGACAATGCTCCCTAGATAAGTGAATGAAGTAACCTCTTTCAAATCCCTCCCGTTGATGGTGATTGACGTTGGATGTTGTTGGTGTTGTTGGTTGGTTATTTTCATAACCTCCGTCTTGTCTATGTTTACCTGGAGTCCTGTCTTTGCTGCTTCTTCGACCAGTTTGTCGGTTTTCGCTTGTAAGTCTTCGATTGTGTGTGACATCAAACATAAGTCATCCGCGAAATCCAGGTCTTCTAGGTTCTTCACGTCGGTCGGTCAGGATATTCCTGTCTTCTCGTTTCCCACTCACAGTCTGACGCATAATCCAGTCCACCACAATTAGGAATATCATTGGTGATAGTAAGCACCCTTGTCTGACTCCTGTGTTTACTCCAAACGCCTCGCTGAGTTTTCCGTTGTGGATCACTTGACATGTTCCGTTGTCGTACAGCTGTTGAATAAGGTTGATGAATATTTGGGGTACGCCGTAGTACTCGAGTAATTTCCAAATTACTTCACGATCAACGCTGTCGAAGGCCTTCTCAAAGTCTATAAAGTTGAGGTAGAGGTTTGATTGCCATTCCATGCTTTGTTCGATGATGATGCGTAGAGTTGCAATTTGGTCAGTACATGATTTGCCTTTCCTGAATCCAGCTTGTTCTGGTCGGAGTTCTGTCTCCAGTGCGTCCTTTAATCTCTCCAGGATGATGCGACTCAGGATTTTACTTGGCGTCGATAGGAGCATGATTCCTCGCCAGTTCTTGCAGAGTGAGTGTAAGTCGCCCTTCTTTGGTAGTTTCACGAGGTAACCTTTCCTCCAGTCAGTAGGCACCTTTCCCTCCTTCCAGACCTTTTGCAATAATGGAGTCAGCATGTCTGCTGTCGTCTCTGGGTCGCTTTCAGTGCTTCAGGGGGTATTCCATCTGGTCCGGCTGTTTTTCCAGCTTTCAGAAGTTTGATTGCGTTCAAGACTTCAGCTCTCGTTGGAGGATTGGTGTCAACTTGCAGTTGTGTGCGCGCTGTTGTTGGTATTTCTGGACGGGTTGCAGGTGATGGTCGGTTCAAGAGTCCTTTGAAGTGATCCGCCCATTGTTTAATCTGTTTTTCTTCCTTGGTAATGGGTTCCCTTGGCTGTCTTTTATAGGTTTCGCTTGTGTTGGTCTCTTCCCGGATAGAGATTTGGTTATCTGATATAGTGTCCTCAGGTCCCTTTTGCCTGCTGCCTTCTCAGCTTCAGTGGCCAGGTTGTCGTAGAATCGTCTTTTGTCCTTCCTAGCACTCTTCTTCACTTCTTTGTCCAGTGCTGTGTAAGTTGAGCTCATCGTCTCCTTCTCCTGTCCGTCCTTGCATTGAATCATTTTCTCTTTCACCATTCTCCTCTTTTCTATTAATTTCCAAGTGTCCGTTGAGAGCCATTCCTTGTCTTGTCTCTTCTTTCTTCCTAGAACCGTTGAACACGTTTCGTTGAGAATCGCCTTCAGAGACTTCCAATGTTCTTCCACGCATGATTCTTCAGTGATGTCGCGTAGTGTTTCCTGCTTTGCTCTGACAGTTGCAGTGAAAGTGTCTTTTGTGGTTGTGTCCTTCAGTAATTGAGTGTTGAACTTGCATTGTGGCCTATCCCCAGCTATCCTCGAGGCTTTTAGTTTCACCTTGAAAGTCCCTTCTACTAGATAGTGGTCTGAACCCACATCTGCTCCTCTCCTCGACCTTGTGTCCAGTAGGCTCCGTCTCCACTTTCTTGAAATTGAGATGAAGTCTATTTGATTCTTGGTGTTTCCATCTGGTGAAATCCATGTCGTCTTGTGTATATCCTTGTGTTTGAACACTCTGCCAACAATCACCAAATCATTGAAGGCGCAGAAGTCTGAGAAGAGTTCACCATTGTCGTTCATTTCGCCGAGGGCCTCACGACCCATGGTGAGTTCTCTTCCTGTGTTGTCTCGTCCCAGCTTCGCATTCATGTCGCCCATCAGGATTTTGATATCGCCATTTGGGACGTTGTCCATTATTGCTTGTAGTTGTCTGTAGAACGCCTCCTTCTTCTCTTGTTCTGAGACGTTTGTAGGCGCATAGCATTGAATGACTGTAACCTTCCTTCCTTTTGAGTTGAACCTGGCTGTCATTATCCTGGAGGAGATTGGTTCCCACTGCATGAGAGCTTTGGTTGCTGTTGGTGACATCATGATGGCCACTCCCTCGGTGTGCTCATGGTTGTCCTCTAGGTGGCCGGAATAGATTACTGTCTCTCCAGTAGGTAGTTGGCACCTTCCAGTTCCGTTCCATCTGCTTTCGCAGATTCCCAACACTTCTATTCTGTACCTTCTCATTTCAGCGGCTATCTGGGCAGCCTTTCCAGTTTCGTACATTGTACGAACATTCCAGGTACCCATCCTTACTTTTGCTTTCATCGAAAGAAGGCACATCGGCTGACTGGCTTCCCGAAGGCTTTCACCAGCCTGCGTCATTTCACTTCCCCGATTCCAGCGAAAAGTAAGGCTATTGCTTATGTTTTTAGAATTTTTAATATATTTATTCGTTGAAGTTTCTGTAGCGATTTGGTTGTTTTACAGGGGTGGAGTTGCTAGCACCACGCCCCAACCCTCCCTCTTTACCCGGGCTTAGGACCGGCTAGGAAACTAGTAATCTAGTAGCCTAGCAAGCTAGTATCCCTATCCCTATGCATGGTAATATTACCGGGGAGAATGGATTTCCTGACGCTGAGAGTGTCGCAGTATGTTTGGCTGTACTACTATCAGCTACGGTGGTATATTTATGGGGTAAGGAGCGGCTAAGTAGACTGGGGGAAATTTCG